TGTTAATATTCGATCACACAAAAATATGGGTCTATTTGAATTATAAAAAAAATACTCCGTAATATTTAAAATATATTTTGCTAATAAAATTACTAACAAATTACATGAAGAAACAACTAAAAATGTGCTCCACTCTAACTTTTACCAACTCAGCCATAAAAATAAATTTAACATTACTTATTTTAATTATAAAAATTGACAAGAATAATGTCACCTTTCACTGATCTTCTCATAATAATCTTACCTTTACATAATCCCAAAATAATCCCACTTTTGCACCCTATCTTCTTTCATTGGACCTTGACCAAGTTTTTTACCTTTCTTTGAAAATCTTATATAAATAATCTCACATTTATAAAGATATATAATAGAAAAGTGAAAGGTAAGATTATTTATATGATTTTCAAAAAAAGAGTAAAAAACATGGTCAGAGTCCAATGAAAGAAGATGAGGTGCAAAGGTGGGATTATTCTGGGATTACCTAAAGGTGAGATTATTATGAGAAGACCAACGAAATGTGGGATTATTTTTGTCAATTTTTCCTTTTAATTATTATTCAACTCAATGAGAATGATAGAGGTCACAAAAAAAGGTAACCGATAAGATTAATAAATCAGGGTTTCAAATTTGTAAAACGGGACATAAGTATGTAATTTTAAGATGATGATAATTTTGTTCTATTTTGTGAAACTTCACATACATCATTTTTGTAAACCATGCATAATGAAAGGAATCTTGCATTGGAGGTGTGCCACCGTCCTTGGTCTCTTGATGTTTGGAAGTCCATTTCATACGTACGCCATATGTCCTGTCTGCTGCCACCTTGCATTGTTCCATCATGTATTAATTATCAAAATTAATTGATTATTTTTATAGTTTATTTATTTAATTAATACCCCTTACAATAATTAGGCATTGATCATGAATGTATATTACTACAGGCCTACACAGATTCAGAGAAGCGTATATATTACCACGATGACGGACACCCGCCGTACGCTTTTTACAAAAATAAATTGCCAAAACAACACTTTTTTTGTTACCACATGTCTCTAATTAAGAACCATAAAAATTTGTGATTGAAGATATGGTGTATGTACGAGTGATCGACGGATTGATGAAATGGTAGGCGTTGCTCGTGGGCCAACGATATGGTTGTTTATCGTGGAAAAAATGTGTTAAAATTGTATTAAGTGGTCAATTAAATTAGGGACAGTGATTTGAGTGGGGTACATTAAGGCCTGATTGAGAGCTAGAGGCCAATTAAATTAGGCTCGCACAATCGGTTGTAAATTCAGAAAGTAATGGTGTCCATAATATTATGTCATACTAAATTTACATTATAATTAATGGTGGTAGAAAAATTAAAATTATGATGAAAAATCAAAACGCCTTTTCACGCTTACGTCTCGCCTAAACTCGCCTAGGCTTCAAAGGTTTGAGGTCTGACCGTGCCGACTCGACACGCCTTACGCCTTTTAGAACATTGACTACAGCCTTTAATGTCCAACGTTCTTCTCCTTTAATACAACAAATTATAGCCTTTAATGTGTAACGTTCTTCTCCTTTAAAGCTCAGTTAACACACAATCAATCCAACCTTATATATAGCTGACATGTGCTTTGCAACAACACACGAATTATTCACATACTTTTGAGCTAAAAACACCTCCAGTTTCCTGAAAAATTCCTATGTGTTCTTGCTTTGTTTTCGTTCGTCGGAACAATCGGTTGTGTGCTCAAACGATTGTTCGTTAACCACCGTATCCTGGTAAACGATTGTTGGAACGCTCCTAGCAACATGAGAGGCAACGAATACGTTTTAAGAAAATTGTGCATTGCACAAGCTTTGGCTAATATGTTTCATCTTATTTTTGTTTTCTTTGGCTATTTTAAGTAATTTAATTAAGTAATTTTCTTTGTTTTTCCGAATTCACCCAACAATAATTACCTACAATTTGCAGATATCAGGCCAAATCGTCGTAGGTCATCTAACTCTAACCAACCAATGTCGGACCTACGACTAACTGGCACTGATTGTGCCCAAATCTGTAAGAAACCAGCGAATGTGCAATATATTTATGGAGATATTTGGAAGGTATGTCTCGGAAGTTTCACCTCAACCTATATTAGAAATTTAGAATCATGAATAGATCATCAAAGGTCATTTCCTGATCGATATAAAACCTTCAATCCATCACAAACGAATCATTCAAACTATTAATTCATAACTAGCCTTTTAATGGTAACAAAAAAAAAATTATTGATGAATGAGTACAACATATTACAAAAGTAAAAGAGGCAAAGGGGAAATAAAAGAAAAAATAAAACAACCAAAACAACCTAACTCGAGGTACACATAAAAACCATTTCCTAGGTAAGCAATTTTCTTGTGTCACCAAGTAAGCCTTATTGCATATGTCTTGATTTGTGCCGGAGTCTCATAGATCGATCATCAAACACTGAAATTGGAGTTCTCTGTTCACTCTGAAGCATGACCTAGAAATTCATCTGCCGAGTATGACAATATTTTTCTGGTATAAAAATTGTCACAATTCATTCCGATAGAGCATTGATTACGGAGAGAATTGTATCTCAAAGAGTTTATCTCATGACTAGCTTTGTCATCCATTCTCTTATCTAGAGAGTTCAATTTTTTCAAACAGAAGACACAATTCTTTCGAAATCTTTGATAAGAAATAAGGAGCGCGATTCTACCCCATTAATCATGGTGGTTCTCAATATTAACCACTATGGCACTATACGATAAAAAAGGCTGTCAAAGAAAATAATGTTCAAATACATGTTTCTCCACGGAATCGTCAAAGAAAAATACAAATTACTATAAACTTCTTTATATACAAAGTTAAATGCAGACTTTGTTGGTTGTACATCTTTGTCGCATATCACAAATTTAAATCCAGATGGACTTGTTACTCGATTTGGAGATCGCCACGTACAACTATTCATGCATAAAACAAGCCGACGAAGGAAGATACTAACCATTTCCAATGATTGTAACTCACTCCTATTAATGGTCATTCATCATTGTATAGTTAATGACATATTCAAAGAATATTTCAACTTTTACTTATGTGTGCTAATGCAACACACTCTAAATATGTTTGTGTATTGCGGAAATTAAAAATGTTTGTGTATTCCGCAATAGGATCATCGTGTTTTTATTCCCAAAATATGACTAATTATTGCCATGTTTTGGTAGTACCATATTTTAAACATTACAATATTTTGCAAACTTCATAGTAATTACTACTATTTTGGGAATAAAAACATGGCAGTCCTGTTTTGGAATTTTCAATTTTTTTTACTCTTATTTCGGGAATTTTCCCATAAATATATTATGTTCAAATGTTTAAACCATTTTTCAGTTACTTTGATGATGTGTAAATCGTAGTGAAGATAAATATTTGCTTTTATAAATCACATTTTTAACCGAACCTCTCAGATCCTTTTTTTACTCTTGAAAGTAAAGCCCATCGTATTACATGTCATGGGTACACATAAAAAATTTCCTTGATGTTGCTCAATATATATGTATAATTACATGCATGGCTTGTGAGGAAGAGAGTAATAGGGGCGATTTTCCGTTCAAAAAAATCCCTAAATAGGATTAAACATTATATTTCTAATTTTAAATGCCTAAATAAAAATACATATTTTAATTTCTCTAAAAAGGATTAAAATTATCTTTCTAATTTTAATATATAATGAGTTTCCCATCCCTGCTTCATTCAGGTATTCGGTGAAAATCCGGTGGTAGCAGTCGTGCGGTGGCCATTCGGCGACGACGGTGCTCTAAGCTCATCAAAATAATAAAAGTTGAAACACATGAAACTTCGTGATACACAAATTTGATCATGTAACGCACAGATTTTGACCATATTTTCACTACCAAATAAAACTCCGTAAGATCTTCGACTCAACAGCTTCACACATGACCAGTCTAACTACTAGAAAAGTTAGGGTGTCAGTCTGCCACCTAGCTAGTTAAAATATGTAAGAGATCCAAAATTCGTTTTTTATGTATCAATTCATTAGGCTTCCTCTTCTTTGTTTATTACGGAGTATGATAATTTATTTATTTTGCAGATTTTCAAAATGCTCAAATAATAGCCAAGTACTGTATAATTTTACTGCATAGACTCATTCTGAAAAGGAAAAAGGAAAGAATGACAAGAATAACAAAAAGAAAAGAAGAAAATGACAATAATACACAGTAATTATTAGCATGCGAGTCAATAGAGTCGAAGTGCATGAGTTAGGGATGGACCCGGGCCGGTCCGGTTCCAGGCCGGGCCCGGGCGGGCTTTTTATTCAAATCCATGGGCCCGGAACCGGCCCGGGTTGATACCGGGTCCGGGCCTAACCGGGCTGGGCCGGGCCCGGTTCAATGTCTATTTTTTTTTTGCTTTCTTGTTATCCCCCGACCCCCCCCCCCTCACCCCCCTCCACGTAAACCTCCCCAAAACACCCAGCCCTAGCCTAGGAAAAGAAAAAAAAATGAAAAACAAAAAAAAAAGACCCGGGCCCGGCCCGAACCGCCCGGGCCGGTTCACCCAAAACTGGGCCCGAGCCCGGCCTACCCGACCCGCCCAAACGGGCTAAAAGCCCGGAACCGGCCAACCGGTCCCGGTCCAGTCCGGGCCCGCACAGTAGTGGGCCGGTTTGGTTCCGGGCCGGTTCGGCCCAGCCCAGTCCATCCCTAGTATGAGTTAGGGATGGACCCGGGCCGGTCCGGTTCCGATTCCGGGCGGGGCCCGAGCGGGCTTTTTTTGCAAATCCATGGGCCCGGAACCGGCAGGGTTGATACCAGGTCCGGGCCTAACCGGGCCGGCCGGGCCCGATTCAATATCTTTTTTTTTTTTTGCTTTCTTGTTATCCCCCGACCCCCCCCCCCCCTCACCCCCACCCCCCAAACCTCCCCAAAACACCCCGCCCTAGCCTAGGAAAAGAAAAAAAATTGAAAAAACAAAAAAAAAACGGGCCCAGCCCGAACCGCCCGGGCCAGTTCGCCCAAAACTGGGCCCGAGCCCAGCCCGCCCGACCCGCCCAAACGGGCTAAAAGTCCGGAACCGGCCAACCGTTCCCGGTCCGGTCCGGGCCCACACATTAGCGGGCCGGTTCGGTTCCGGGCCGGTTCGACCCGGCCCAGTCCATCCCTAGTATGAGTGTTCAAGAGTTGACTAAAAACTTTCACTACACTACAATGATGCAGCCATGGAGGATGCAATTTACACCACATGAGCTTGCTGTAGGAAAGAAATCCAGAAAAAGTAACCATGATACTAATACTTTAAACAGGGTCATTTCAAGTTTTTTTAAGGGTTACATTTTGAACAAGGAAACGTGAAACTTGAAAGTTAAAAAAAAACTTATCTTAAGAACAGTAAATTACATTTAAAATCTAAAATAGCTGTTTTGTGAGGTCACCCCGTGATTGTTAAATCAATGAAGAAACTGAATTGGGCAACAGCATTATGCATATGTATTTATCAAAGCAGCCCCATCCTCCTCTTGTAGTCACTGACAGTCAAAGTCAGCGCATGGATTCTGCCATCATCCTCAGGTACTCCACGCCCAACAGTTGCCTCTAGCCTCTGTTTCCGTGCCATGAACCCTGCATGGGCTCCTTGTGGCCCTCCAAACTTCTGAAGTATAGCCAAGGAGATGGGTAACTCAAAATCATGTAATGTGTTTGATTCTGTCCCTTGATCAACCGGAGCACTTGTATCAACCAACTTCCCTGCACCTGCTGCTGCTTGCAGTGCGGCAGCTGTGGCCGCCATACCTACATGAGAAGGGATGGCGGCGGCAACAGCAGGAGGAGGAGCCTCATCCCTTTCTGTGACCCCCACCTCTTCGCCGCTTTGCTTCCCTGCAAAGTAATTCCTTGACCTAGTCCATCTTCTCGAGAACGGGTCATATCCCTCATCTCCAGCTGCCAGTTCAACAGCAGGTTTCAGTTCAGACGCGTTCTTGAAATTCTCAACCCTGTTCTTTCTGTTCATCTCAGCCAGCCTATGAGCCTTGCCATCTTTCTCCTGCGTTTGTCTGGTGGCCTCAAGTTCTTGGACCCTAGCCGTAATCCTCTTTACCTCAGCTTCGTCATTCTTCATTTTTGCCACTTCCATCTCCCTTCTTAACCGCTCCTTCTCAATAGCAACATTCAGAGGCTTCCACGTGGCAGATTTTTTCAATTGCAACATTTGCTTAACAGTATCAGCTGAGTAGACAAATGTATTTGTCTTCTGTATGGCCTCCTTCTTTTCCAACACATCCTGTTTGCTGGGCATCCGTCCACCACCTTTCTCAACCTCCCTGACCCACTGCTCGAATTCTTCTCTCAGAGGAGGTGAGTCAGAAACCATGGCCATCTGCCACCTGGCGGCAGAGCTTTCGTTTCCCCAAGTGACATTCAGATGCTTGTATGTGGTTTTGTTTTCTAAATTGTACTGCTTGTTTGGATCTGCGGAATCTACATTGCGTACCATACAAAGCCTATAAATGGGCCCCGACCTGGACCGCCCAATCCCAACCCTCACAAAACAACCAACAATCAACTCATCAAAGAAGGGTTCCATGAACCACTTTGCAAGTCTTGATCGCCGGATGGTGATTTCTTTTATATCCTCATAAGTTGGCAACGGTGAAGCCTTGTCATCATCACTGTCGGCCATCCCATCATCCCCATACTCTCCGTCACCACTTTGGGACCCACTCTCAGCTCTGTTAGGGGTCTCTATGGTTGCAGCTGGAAATTTGCCCCGCTTAAGAGGTGAGTAACCCCTGCTGCTGCTGCCAGAACCTCTTCGAGCTGCATCTTTGGTTTGCGAATGACTTTCAGGATCCTGCTGTCTTGCTCGTTTTGACTTTAAGGTGAGCAACGCCCCTTCCCTTTCTGCTCCCCGACCTAGAGCTCTGGTGGAGGAGCGGGTTCCACGAGGCTGTGAAGGAGGAGGGCTAGATTTTCTTACTTGGCTGTTCTTCCCACGTAATTTGTCATGCATCTGTTTGTCAGATCTCTTTGATGCCCGGTCTGTCAGTATCATCTCTCTTTGAAGCTCAGTCATCTGTGCAAGGTGTAGACGGTCATTTTCATCCCTGTAAAGGTCACTCCCAATTGAATCGTCATCACTATCACGCTCATGATCATAGTCATCACCTTCACCTTCACGATCACTGTGATCATCATCTCTCTCTGCAGCATCCAGCCTCTTCTTTAGAGGAACTTGTGATCCAGATAGTTTTCTGTTTGGATAACCCCGATCATCATCTGAATCATCATCTCTTGAGTCGCTTCCATCATCTCTATGGTGCCTCCTAGACATAGGTGAATGACGACTCCTTCCACTTCCATTAGTTCTTCCAGCTGCCTCCAGGAGTAAATCGTCCAGATCAGCCATGTTCCGGTATGCTTACCACTGAGAAAAAATGTCCCTGCTAGATCAAAACTGTAAATAAGAAGTTCTAACTTGTGAGGGTGAGAAAAGGAAAAGAAAAATCATAATTAAATGTCTATATCAAATGCCTCCATTCCGATATTATTTGGCCTTTCTTGCTTTTGTGATCAAAATGAAAAAATTGAATGAAAATCCTAACTGGACATGTTTTAGGGATTCAGAAAACCTAATTGGAGTTTTTACTCAGCCAAATTGGAATATTGGAGACAATTTTGTTTGGGGTGTAATTACGAAGAAAACACTAAAAATATATACTCATATAACGTTTCTAAGAAACTAAAAATAAATGGCTTAGGATAAAGGGTCTCCTAGAAAGAAAAATATTTACTGAAAAAAAACCATATGAAGAAAAACATATTCAAATTGCACGATATAACGTGAATGTCAAAAGGAAAAGTTTTAAATGCAAACATATGTAAAATACACTACAAACTTGACATGTACCACCCTATTGGCCTATTCTTCTTGCCCTTTGCAGTGCAAAATCAATGCAATGAAGACTAGCTAACATTTTTTTTCAAACGTTAACATAGCTAACCCACTTAATCTATCTTCCCATAACACTTTCGTACAACCAAATCTCTTCTCAACTTATACTCTCTTTGCACATCTCAGAGACAAATTTTCATTTGCCCGTCATGACAATACCTACATATTTATAGATAATACAAAATTCACAAACAAATCAATTAACAAAAAAACTAAAATTTCTAAATACAATGACAGATCAAACAAAATTACTAACTTAGGAATCCCAATGGCATCAAATTAATTATTTCACGCCTAAAAAGTCACTAGTTCACTGCAATCGACGGAATGTGGTAACCAGTCTAAGGCCGTAAGGCCGTGGACTTACGCCCTTCGACAGGAAGCCCTTCCCGTAATCCCGTTCCTCAATTGCGCTATTGCCTGCTGAATAGATTAGAAGATAGTTTTCCTTTTCCAATTTCCACCTAAAACCAATCAGGTACTTTTATATACAGCCCCAAATTTACTATGTACGGCCCCAACTGATTCATGGATCACGAACCCGCTAAAGCTTGGGAATTTCGCGATTGGGAACCAAAGAAATGCCCAGACTTTGGTGGTGTTAGCTGTTAGAAGACAGGTCTGGATTTTGTAGTTAAATTTTAGCAGCGAGATGTACCTTGGTCGGACGCACTCAGGACGACGGAGTATTCCCGGACGGTGTGGTTTGGGAAAAGTCGGTAGAGATGACTACGGCGGTGATGACTGATCAGTTGATTGGGCCTTTTTAGGTTTTTATTTTAAGCGGAAAGAATGGAGGGTGATTTGACGATGACTGCGGTAGAGGAGCTGCGCTTGAATGAGGGATACAGGGTTGCGTTTATATCAGTCTATGTCCAGATGAAACTAGGATCCGTTTTTGGGTTTGGAAAGACAGGGTAAATAACTCGGAGTGTTAAAGAAAAGTTGTGAACAAAATAATTCCAAAAAATTCAAAGAAAAATATTAATAGGACATTTATACCCTAAAAGTTTATATTTTATGTTATTGTTAAAATTTTGTTGTCATCCGTCCGAGTGACACTAAACACATTCCCCATGACACCCTACTTGTCAATCACTCTTGCAGTGACGTCACTGATAGTGACGTCATGAGTAGTGACTTTCGAGTGACTGCTACTTCAGTCACTCTACGTCTATAATTGGAAACACCTTTGAATAACGTCAACATTGTTGGTTGTGTTTCGGAAGAAACGAATAAATATTAATTAAATATGCAGAAAAGCAAGCAATTGAAATTATATATTTTCGTGTATTTCCCAAAAAAACTGTCAAATACATAAGAGCCTTTCAGCTTATATACAAAAGCATGCAGCAACTTCTTCTCCTGCGTGTGCTACTGCTGCTGCGCTGGGAAATAGGCAGAAGAACATGGCCAAATAATGTACAAACTACCTAACTAAAACAGACTCACATGGCCTAATAATGTACAAGCTACTTAACCAAAAACACACTCACATGTACTCACATGTACGTACTAGAGAACCAAAAAAATGTAACATGAAAAATAAATGTACATTTAAACTACATCCAACACCCCCCCTCAAGATGGAGCATGGGGATCCCAAATGCCCATCTTGCCAAGCAAATAAGTAAATTGAGATGCTCCGAGTGCTTTAGTGAATAAATCTGCGGGCTGTTCAGTAGTTGATGTATAGAATGGAGAGATAGTGCCTGCCTGAATATGATCTCGAATAAAATGACAGTCAAGTTCTATGTGCTTGGTCCGCTCGTGGTACACCGGATTGGAAGCGATGTGGAGAGCTGCCTGATTATCACAGTAAAGTGGCACTGGTGATGAATGTGTGACGCCCAAGCACTTAAGTAGGTTGCGGAGCCAAATAAGTTCACAAGTTAAGGTAGCCATGGAGCGATACTCAGCCTCTGCAGATGAACGAGAGACAGTGGCCTGTTTCTTGGTACGCCAGGAGATGGGGGATCGGCCAAGTGAAACAAAATAACCAGTCACCGAGCGACGGGTGACGGGACAGCTAGCCCAATCAGCATCACAGAATCCGGTCAGGGTAAGGGAGGAATCGGACCGCAATAAAATTCCCTGACCAGGATGGCTCTTAAGATAACGTAAAACTCGCAACACAGCCTCCCAATGCACCACCTTGGGACATTGCATAAATTGGGAGAGAATGTGAACGGAATAACTGATGTCTGGCCTGGTCAATGTAAGCTAAATCAGTTTCCCAACCAACCTCCGATACCGTTCCGAATCGGAGAAATTAGGTCCGGTGTCTGATTGTAATTTATGGTTTTGCACCATGGGAAAAGATACAGGCCGTGCCCCAGTCAAGCCTGTTTCAGTCAACATATCTAGCACATATTTGCGCTGACACAAGAATATCCCAGTAGAATTGCGTGCGACCTCAATACCCAGAAAATACTTCATGATACCTAAATCTTTCACAGGAAATGAGGCCGCTAAAAATGTTTTAAACGCCACAATCATATCATGATCGTTACCAGTGATAAGAAGATCATCAACATAAATTAATACACAGAGAATTCGGTGACCGCGGCGAAGGGTAAATAAGGAATAATCAGCATGTGACTGACAGAAACCATAAGCCCGTAAGGAAGTGGTAAGCTTAGAAAACCAACATCGGGGAGCCTGTCGTAGGCCATACAGTGATCTAAGTAGTCGACATACCTTCCCCGTGGAGGAGGCTGAATATCCGGGAGGCAAGTGCATATATAGACTTCCTCATGCAAATCTCCATGAAGAAACGCATTGTCCACGTCCATTTGATGAAGTTCCCAGTGACAGGAAGCCGCTACCGCTAAAGTGGTACGAACTGTTACCATTTTAGCAACTGGGGCGAAAGTCTCATTGTAATCAATTCCTTGTACTTGTCTATTGCCACACACTACTAACCGGGCTTTGTAACGTTCCACCGAGCCATCACTTCTGTATTTAATTTTATATACCCATTTGCAATAAATGGCCTTCTTGCCACGTGGCAGGTCTTGAATTTTCCATGTACCCGTTCTTTCGAGAGCTGCAATTTCACGGCTCATGGCGTCTCTCCACTGTGGATCTCGTACAGCTTCACTGAAATTAGATGGCTCTTTGGTGGCTGATATAACTGCAAGAAAAGCACGGTGCGGAATCGAAAACTGATTATAATTTACATAATGAGATATGGAATACGGATTACCTGAGTCAACCGACAGGTGTGAGTCAACGACAGGGGAGGAGTTTATTTTCACAGTATTTATCTGGACATCATAGTCTTTATGCCAAACAGGTTGTTGTCGTTGTCGTGTGCCTCGTCGAGTGGCGTGAGATTCAGTTAAATGGGTCGAGGAGCTGTGAGAGGGTCCTACGTCATTTGTATCCATCTGGAATGAGACGGTTGCATTATTATCGGTACCCATGTGTACGTGGTTGTGCTCGGCTACTTTCCCAGAATTGTGAAGACCTCCAGACTGTTGTGATGATGAATTGACTCCCCCATCACACGTGTCAGGAGAAAGGGATGGGTCATCTAATGCTCTAACATGGTGCTCCTGCCATTGTCCCCCATCACATGGATCATTCATGCTACCAGCATTATTCCCCATAATTTTGAACGGAAAAAAGGTTTCAATAAACTTCACATCACGGGAAATAAAATGTCGTTGTTTTTCCAAGTCATAAACTTTCCAACCCCTTTGTGTGTGTGCATATCCCAAAAACACACATCTTACTCCACGTGGTGCGAACTTATCACCCATTGTATCCTTAGAATGTGCATAACATAAACACCCGAATACCCTTAGAAGAGTATATAAAGGAGGTTTATTATATAAAAGTTCGTAAGGACTTTTATTTTCTATCACAGGAGATGGCAACCGGTTAATTAGATATCCTGCCGCTAACACACATTCACCCCAAAACTCAATAGGCAAATTGGCATGAAACCTGAGAGTTCGCGCCACCTCGAGTATATGTCTATGCTTTCGTTCAACCCTACCATTTTGCTGTGGGGTGTACACACAAGATGTTTGAAAAATTATCCCATGGGTCAAAAAATATTCTTGCAAACCAATAAATTCTTTGCCATTGTCACTTCTGAAAACTTTCACAGATTTATTAAATTGCCGAAGTGTCATGGCAAAAAATTGTTTAAGAATATTTTTGACCTCACTTTTCTCCCTCATTAAATGAACCCATACTGCTCGTGAATAATCATCAACAATTGTCAAGAAATAACGAGAACCGCCAGTGGCCGGCGTTCTATATGGACCCCAGACATCACAGTGTATCAATTCAAAAGGCTCAATAGCACGTGCAACACAAATATAAAAAACGTCACGAGTTTGTTTACCACGTAAACATGCATCACACACATTATTCTGAACAGATTTCAACAAAGTCTTATTCAAACAATTAACCAAACGTAAAACTTTCACTGACGGATGTCCCAACCGAGAATGCCACAGTTCACCTGAGTCTGACGCTGCCACCGCATGTACTTGAGCTTGATCAAGACTCCGGAAAAAATAAACTCCCCCTCGTCGATCACCCACTCCAATCGGCATCCTCGTAAGTAGGTCCTGTATCACACATATATCATTAGTAAAAAATATATCACATTTTCGTTGATCAATTAATTGAGCTATTGAAATAAGATTGCATCGTAATCCAGGTACTAGCAACACGTTCTCCAATTTTAATTGTGAACTAATCCATACTTCACCAACACTTGTTGCTCGTGTTACTTCGCCGTTTGGTAATTGTACCGAAACAGCGTTCATCTTGCACGTCTTCTTAAGAACCGATTCATCACCGGTCATGTGATAGGATGCCCCGGAGTCTAACAGCCATTGAGTATTAAATTTTGTACCTGTAAGATTCTCCACGTGTGGTGCTATCTTACTGTTGTCTAGCATCTTAATAAGCTGCTGCCACTGTTCATCAGTGAGTGTTGGCTTTTGCATGGCAGCACTTGTTCCTACACGCATCACGGCTGCCTCTTCAAAACTTTCTGCCGCTTGCATCGCATGCACGGAAGCACGTCCACGTCCACGGCTTGTTCCGCCACCCCGGCCAGTTCCTCCTCGTCCTCGTCCGCCGCGTCCTCTTCCCGGATTGTCAAACCACCACTCAGGGTACTGCCCCGTCCGTTTGAAGCAATGTTCTACCGCATGTCCGGGTTTGTTACAGAATGTGCATTTAACACGATCTTCTCGGGTTCCTTCAATCACAGCCGCGCGTGCAGCAAACGCCGCAGCCTCCGGTTTTTCTTCACGTCCACGCACCATATTTTGATGCCTTTCTTCTTGAGTCACCATGTGGTAAACTCTTGTCAGTGATGGTAATTCATCCGCACTAAGAATATTTGACCTTAGAGTACCATATGTGTCATGATCAAGTCCAAGCAAGAAGTCGTGTGTTTTCTCCGTTTCCACATGCTTCATAAACAATTTTTCCAGTTCGCATGTACATTTACCACAATTGCATTGTGGGACATTACGAAAGCTATCATAATCATCCCACAAAGCCTTGAGACGTCCGAAATACGTTGTAACAGGCTGTCCGTTTTGTCGACAGTTTCGTATTAATTCTTTAAGCTCATGGGTTCTCATTGCATCTCCTACTGCAAATCGTGTCTTCAAATCTTCCCAGAGATCATGCACGCTGTCCATGTAGGCGAGATTAGTGCGGAGAGAGGGATCCGCCGAGGTCATAATCCATCCCACCGCCATGGAGTTGACGGTCAGCCAGTCCTCTATGTGCTCTCCGTCCGTCTCGGGTCGTTTGATAGTTCCGTCTAGAAACCCCATTTTCCGTTTGGCACGGAATGCGTTCTTCATTGATGTAGCCCATTCCCGGTAGTTATTTTCTCCTTTGAGAATCACTCCGCAAATATTCAAACCCGGAAAATCCGAGGTTGACAAATAGTACTGAGAAGATGGGTCGTTAATCCGCCGTCGTCGTTCATGGCCGGTGTTGCCGCTTCCCGTTTCTCCAGCCATATTGAGTTTATTGGTTCGTGAATTAGACTGCCCAGTTCGTTACAGGCTCTGATACCATGCAGAAAAGCAAGCAATTGAAATTATATATTTTCGTGTATTTCCCAAAAAAACTGTCAAATACATAAGAGCCTTTCAGCTTATATACAAAAGCATGCAGCAACTTCTTCTCCTGCGTGTGCTACTGCTGCTGCGCTGGGAAATAGGCAGAAGAACATGGCCAAATAATGTACAAACTACCTAACTAAAACAGACTCACATGGCCTAATAATGTACAAGCTACTTAACCAAAAACACACTCACATGTACTCACATGTACGTACTAGAGAACCAAAAAAATGTAACATGAAAAATAAATGTACATTTAAACTACATCCAACAAAATAAAATTAATTAATAAACAAAATAGCTAAAAGAAAACAGAAAATAAGATGGAGCAGATTTTAGCCAGAGCTCGTGCTACGCACGATGTCCTTAAAACGTATTCGTCGCCTCCCACGATACTAGGAGCGTTCCAACGACCGTTTCCCAGGATACGGTGGCTAACGAACGATCATTTGAGCACACAAATGAAAGTCCCGGTTTGATCGTGGCTAACGAACGATCGTTGCAGGTCGCCCGCGCACACGAGTCGCGGTTTTTCTTCTCTGTTTCGGGATTTGATCGGCACCCCCCCCCCCCCTGCGCGTAAGAGAGAGCCTTTACTTTTAGGAATCTTAACTCCTTAAAAGAGGCTTCCCTTTATAAGGGGGTGAAAATCCCTTGAGTTTTTCGGTGTGGGATAAAACACACTAGAAACCCATCATTTTCCCAGTTTTTCCATTTCAACGAGTGAACTTCGAGAATCAATTTCTCATTCACCCGTTATCCGTTTTGAGTGTACCACATATCGAATTGTAGCCCTTAACAAAGACAATCCGAAACCACTTTGACCCGACCCAAATCGGAAGTGGACCCCACTCAAATAATTGCCCCAAAATGACCATTTAATGCAATTTTTAACACATTTTTCCAACAATCCCCCACATGAATGAAAATTGATTTTCGAGACTTAAAAAGACACGAAGATAAGAGGACACGTTGTGTTCACCGGATGATGCTTGCATACGAAGAGGTAGGTTTTATCCTTTGAACCTTCCGTTGTAAAGACACGTTTATTTACTGGCTGTCTAGTAGACTCGATGTCCTTGAACTATATTGTCGTCGTGTAAACATTGACTTATCTTTACACAAGAACCTTCCAACTTTGTTCCGTTCTCATGGGTGTGCCCGTTTTGGCCATGGGTCATCGTCCTGGTTCTGCAAGAGTTTCTAAAGAACTGAGCCTTTACAGTTCTCCTTTGAAGTGACCCTCTTCTCTCTCACATAGGTGATTCTTTCACGAGTATCCCGCATACTCTTCCAATGTTATCGAGTAGATCAACATTTTAGAATCATTAAAGCAAACGTTTTTGCTAACCTCGTGCGGAAGTCATTGTTTTAACGAGGAGTGGGTAGGAGTCCGGGACCCCCACAGTGACCATCCTTCGCTCTATAATTTAGTTGTTCCTTTTGAACCTAGGACCAACTAGATTGGGTATCCACTATAGAACTTTTCAATTCACGGGCTTTAGTCCCATTCCTCGTGACAACTTCTCCAATAATTCTCTATCCAATGCCTTGGTTAGCGGATCCGCTATGTTATCCTTTGACTTCACGTAGTCAACAGTGATAACACTCGTTGTGAGGAGTTGTTTAATGGTGTTATGTCTACGACGAACGTGTCTAGACTTACCATTGTACATATTGCTCTGTACCCTTCCAATTGCGCTTGACAATCGCAATGTATGTGTGGATCGTTGCGCTTACCGCTACACTAAAAGCAATCGCTGATAGTGTAGCACGCTCCTCTCCCTTTATAGCACAAGCGAAGCGCCACGCGGTCTGATTGCACCGGCAGGCTGGCTGTTGCTGGCACCGCATACCCGCGGCCCAACAATCTCTCCCCCCCCCCCCAGCACCTGCCAGCCTACAACTACGCAGCATGCTGTTGCCGGGGGTTGAACCCGTGACCTTGGCTCTGATACCACTTGTGGATCGTTGTGCTTACCGCTACACTAAAAGCAATCGCTGATAGTGTAGCACGCTCCTCCCCCTTTATAGCACAAGCGAAGCGCCACGCGGTCCGATTGCACCGGCAGGCTGGCTGTTGCTGGCACCGCATACCCGCGGCCCAACAATCTCCCCCCCCCCCCCCAGCACCTGCCAGCCTACAACTACGCAGCATGCTGTTGCCAGGGGTCGAACCCGTGACCTTGGCTCTGATACCACTTGTGGATCGTTGCGCTTACCGCTACACTAAAAGCAATCGCTGATAGTGTAGCACGCTCCTCCCCCTTTATAGCACAAGCGAAGCGCCACGCGGTCCGATTGCACCGGCAGGCTGGCTGTTGCTGGCACCGCATACCCGCGGCCCAACAGTATGCATATTGGAGGGACAAGCTTTTCCCAACTTGGAATGTCCTCAAGAAAATGGCATAGCCATTCAGCCTCTTCAGTGCACTTATCCAAGGCTATTAGCTCAGACTCCATCGTGGATCTAGCTATTAACGTTTGTTTTGAGGATTTCCATGACACGGCTGCAACTCCCAAAGTGAAAACATATCCACTTGTGGACTTAGAGTCCTTTATGTCGGATATCCAACTAGCGTCGCTATACCCTTCAAGTACATCTGGATATCTTCCATAGTGCAGTCCAAGATTTTGGGTTTTACGTAAATACCTCAAAACCCTTATTATTGCCTTCCAGTGTTCATCACCGGGGTTGCTAGTATATCTACTTAGCTTACTAACCACAAAGGCAATATCAGGCCTGGTACAACTCATTAGATACATCAAGCTTCCAATAATCCTAGCGTATTCTACTTGAGAAATACACTCTCCACGATTTTTGGTAAGTTGTACGTTTTTATCTAATGGAGTCCTTGACTCTTGATTATCATCCTTATTAAATTTCGTAAGGATTTTATCAACGTAATGGGATTGGCTTAGCTTAAGACCGTCAGGTCCTCTAATTATTTTAATCCCAAGGATTAAATCGGCCAGCCCCATATCCTTCATGTCAAATTTAGAATTTAACATGCTTTTGGTAGAATTCATCATTAGATTATTGCTACCCACGATGAGTATATCATCCACGTATAAACATAAAATGACATAGCCGTCTACCGTGCTATTCACATAGACGCATTTGTCACTTTCGTTTATTTTAAACCCATTAATTAACATTGCATGATCGAACTTTTCGTGCCACTGTTTAGGGGCTTGTTTCAATCCGTACAATGATTTAATTAATTTACACACTTTCCTTTCTTGGCCTGAACCCGAAAGCCTTCGGGCTGTTCCATATAGATTTCTTCGTCTATATCGCCATTTAGAAAAGCGGTTTTTACGTCCATTTTATGAACTTCCAATTTCCGCAATGCGGCAATTGCTAGTATCATCCTAATGGAATTTATTCTCGTCACAGGAGAATACGTGTCAAAGTAATCATGGCCCTCACGTTGCTTGTATCCTTTGATTACAAGTCTGGCCTTGTACGTATCGATGGAACCGTCAGGTTTCATTTTTCGTTTAAAAATCCACTTGGATCCCAAAGGTTTATTTCCCGGAGGAAGATCAACCAATTCCCATGTGTGATTTTTAAGGATAGAATCCACCTCACTTTTGATGGCTTCTTTCCACATAGGACCTTCGGTAGACATCACGGCTTCCGTATAAGTCCGTGGTTCATTTTCTACCAAACATGTTAGAAAATCCGGTTCATTTTCTACCATACATGTTAGAATATCCGAGTCAAATTCTACCAAGTAGGTGAGAAAATCTGGTCCGAAGGATTTTTCAACTCTAGCACGTTTGCTACGTCTGGGTTCGGGTTCTTCTCCGGAGCCCTCGCTAGTATTTTCCATAGCTACGTCAAATGTTCGTTTCGACGTGTTTGGTCCTTCATTGGACTTGCATGGAAATACGTCTTCAAAAAATGAACCATTCCTTGATTCAATTATTGTGTTTTTATGTACATCCGGATTATTCGAATCGTACACTAAAAACCGATAGGCACTACTATTTTGTGCATATCTAATAAAAATACAATCCACCGTTTTTGGACCTATTTTTATTTTCTTAGGTGTTGGTACAAGCACATTTGCCAGACACCCCCACACTTTAAAATATTGATAGGAAGGTCGTCTGCCTTTCCACAACTCGTACGGAGTTTTATCATAATTTTCCGGGGAACCTTATTTAAAAGGTAGTTGTTTGACAAGACTGCTTTGCCCCACATATTTTGTGGCAAGCCCGAACTTACTAGCATCGCGTTCATCATATCTTTCAATGTGCGATTCTTTCGTTCGGCAACAC